CTTAATTGCGTGTGTAATTGCGCCGAATCACTCAATTCCTTATAGCTGTTTTCTTTCTTTATTTTCAGTGAAAGAAAATGAATTACGACAGCTTCGTAAAACAGCCACCGAATACGAAGATCAAAACTCCATTCTCTCCAAACACATTAATAACATGAAACAAACTATCGAAAAAATCCAACTAGAATCCAACACCCAGCGAAGAACCAATGAGCTTCTACAACAACATCTAGACACCTTACGCACTCTCTTAACGCATGGCTTTCAGGAATTACAGTTGCCCAGAACAGATGAGTTGCCTTGCATTGATTCTATTGATAACTATATGACTAAGTTATATTCAATTATTTTAGACTCGCCACAAGAAAACGAGGGCCTTATCGGTAGTGTACGAGACATTGTGTCTAGAATAAGCTTCCAAAAGTGACTGGGTTTCCATTTCAGTGCAACATTTCTATTACTACCAGAACAGGTCTATACTGGGTTCATTAAACAAGATGTATTCTGGTCTAGCTTGGGCAATAAAAGCATCATATAAGGCGTGATTAACCAAAGATCTTTGTACCCAAGCTGGACCAGAATGCATCACGGTGCGCAGAAAGGTTTCACGGCAGCCAAGCTGTAGTACAAAACAACATTTTTGTTGCTTTGGAAAAACGAAATGTTTTGTGCAAAAGCGTTGCATTGTTCACGTCCTGTAGCATCCCTTCTATACTGCGTGACTGTCACGAACCCCATCTATACTGCGTTACTGTTTTTGTAAATCAGGTTAATCCTTATTACTCTAAAGCGATACCGATAATATCGACTAAGAGATCACTTGACCATTTCCCCTCGTGGTTGGTTCATGTAGTGAGAGACGATCGTATTGGTCCCCCCACCTCTCCCCATTCCTTACTCAGTATTTATACTTCCCGTAGGAATCTTTATCAAAATGTAAGAAGAGTATTGAATGTGCATCCAAACTTTCTCAAACAAAACAGAAATAAAATTGGCCAATAAACTTATCAAATGCAAAACGATATGAAAATAAAACACCAATTATTAATCATTTCAAACATCGGAGTATACTTTGTATTCTTCGTTTGCAATAGACGTCATAGCCGCCATGCTGGAAGAATTTGACAAAAGATTTTTAAATGAATTCTTTAGTTACATCTTCCCACATGGCGGACATCCCTTTTGTTATTGTGCTCTCTTGGGATTGATTGCAAACCAAGAATACGTTGCTCTTGGTGCGCTAGAATATGTCTGCCGAGTTTTCTCCAAATCTAGAGATATACACAGGGCTGTCAACTCTCCCGGATAAACCGGGAGTCTCCAGATTTTGGACTGTATCTCACGGTCTCCAGATTAGAGTATCAAATCTCCCGGATAATCCCCGAAGCTGACCATTTCTTGTGAGACTAGACTTTCACAACCATAAAATTCCAATTATTTCATGTTGTTTGTCTTATTTAACATCGCTATTAAACAAAATCAAAACGTTCCTCATAAACTGTTCTTGCAAGCAGGCCATTGTAATATAAGCGATAATATGATTGGTCAGAAATAAGCCAATCACATCAAATGTTACAAAGCGAAAGATGTCTTTTCGCGAGCTTTTTGTCCTGCTGTGACGTCATGTCCCTTCCCTATCAATTCTCCAGATTTGAATATCTCGGGGGTTGACAGCCCTGTATACAAGTCCAAATTAATGAGTTTTCATTCCATTTCTGTCATTTTATCTCGTTCTTGTACTTTCATAAATTCACTTGGACTTGATATTTTCACACATTTAATTAATTCTATATTTTTTCAAGTAGACATTTCCGATTTAGCGGCATATGAGCGGAATAGGCATATACTAGCGGAATAAGCATAAACCAGCGGAATAAGGCTAGAATCATCGTTATGACCAGAAAATTCAATAAAATAATGAAACAGCTTTCAGTAGACCTGTTTTATCTAACTTAAGGTATTGCACAA